AAGTCCTATAAGCATCTCAGTGGTTCTAGTCCGTCATTCCGCTGACTTCAACATGTGCGCTCTCAGCAGGTCACTGACAAGCCATGATGGTTGCTCAGTCACTGACCTGCCATACAGGCTTATGGCTGGCTCCTCAGCAGGGTAGGGATGCTCTGTGACATGAGGCCAGTTCCACCTTCCCAGCAGTGACAATACAGAGTGAGCCTGGGGCTTGTGGCTCACCCCTGTAATCCCTGCTACTCAGGAGGCTGAGACCTGAGGACTGCAGTTTGAAGCCAGCCGGAAGTTGAGTTGTGGCTCAAGCCTTGAACAAAAAGTTCAGGGACAGCACCCCAGCCCTGAGTTCAATCCCCAGAGTCGGCACAAAAAATAATAATAACAATTTCCAGGGGAAACAACTCAAGGATGCCAGCGATGGGAATTTCAGGAAGTCGTGATGCCATGCAGACAGACGGCAGCTGGAATAGCAGGAACGTGATTTTGCCCCAGACAAGGTTTGGAAAGGGGAAGTGGAGGTAAGGGGAAGGCATCATGGAAACTCAAAGCCAAGAACTGTCCAAACTGCCCCCAAAGGGAACGCACTGATAAATGGCTGCAGAATGTTTGATGACTAACAAACTGTGAGAAACACAGAAGCCCGAGGAAGAGCCTGTGCATGTGCTTGGGGGGGGAGGAGGCACCAGGGAGAGGCCCGGGGCTGCTGAGGTATCCCTGGGTTCCAAGGCCAGGCCTCTGGACTTGGTTCACCCATGCGCGGAAGGGTTCTGGGGAAAGGAAATGCATTTCTTCACACTCCCGAACCTAAAATCTGTATTCCTGTCATGGGTGACAGTGGTTTGTGTTGTTGCTGTGAACTTTGGAAGGGTGGAGATGATTCCTTTCCTGGGTGGCAAATGAGGACAGCACCCCAACACCGTCTCCTGACCCGGACAGGCCTTCCAAACCAAGGACAGTGGTTCCAGAAGCAACAGCTTCTGGAATGTTGCTGAGGCCGCACAAACTTCACCGCGGGTGAATCTCGGCCAGTGGAGGAAGGCTCTCTTCCACAGTAAGCACCAGCCACAGGCCCCTGGCTTCCATCTGACATCTCAGCAGTTTCTGGGTCTTTCCTGAGCCAAGTTAGGTGTGCGGTTTGTGAGGCGTTGGGAATATTAGCCTCTGAGGGTTTTCTTAGAATCTGCCCTCTCTCACACAAGTGAACACATTTTATTATGAATTAAACATGAGATTGCACCTGAAGTGTGTGGGCCGGGGAAGGGAGAGTGGACAGAGGCCATCAGTAGAATCTCAGATGAATCAGCCAGTGTCCTGGGCCGCACTGGGCCTTGGTGAGCAGGGCTCGGGAAGCCAGCATTTCCCCCAAGGTGGCCATCCCCCTGGTCCACAGCTGAGTGGGGACCAGCCACCAGGGCATGTGTGCGTCTGTGGGGGGAGGTGGCATTCGGATGCAATCGTACAGCTATCTACAGATGTACATGCGTGTGGTCACTGTGAAGGTAGAACATGGCTACAGCTACCACACCCTTCTGCGAAGCAGCGAAAGTTTCAAGAGAGCCAACATGGAGAAAGAAAACATTTCTCTCTGACATTTGTGCCAAAGTGGTAGCTCTTAAAACCATTTTTAAAAAAAATGCAATGATTTGAGCCCTGCCCAGAAGTCCTGACTCAGATCTTTCTTTCTGAGCCTCAGTGAATGGTGCTGCCAAAGGCTGGGGAGCCCTCCCCCCGATGGCGCTGGCCTGTGCCCACCCCCCCCCCCCCGCGTCCTTGCCCCCACTGTCTCCCTCCCTCTGCTCACACCCATAGGGGAGCCCCATGTTCTCATAAGTGCTGTCATTTCGGGAATCCTTCAAAGTTTCTGCGTGGTTCGACTCAGCCTACAGGCAGAAGGAGGCTGGGGAAGGAGGCTGAGCCTCGGATTCCAGAGAGGACGCCAGGCTTCCGCTCTCCGGGAGCTTCTCTCCTTTGCTGCAGGGCACACACGTGCGCACCTGCGTGTATCAGGAGCGAGAGTAAGGTGGCGGCGGCGGAGCCCTTCCCACCGGCCAGGCGCTGAGCCAAGGGTCCCCGCCCAGTGGTCGCCAAGCAGGGGGATCTGTGTCAGCCACATTTCTCAGATGAGAGAAACCAAGGCCACAAAGCAGGGATAGAGTTAGAGGCACAGCCTGGGTTGATGACTCCAAGGACGGCAGCCTGAGAGCAGGGAGCCTTCTACAAAAAGAAAGTGGGTGGGTGCACAGAGAATTGTTGGAGTGTGCAAGTACTGGGGCTTGAACTCAGCCTCATACCTTCACTGGGCTTTTTCGTTCAAGGCTAGAGCTCTACCACTTGAGCCAAACCTCCACTTTTGGCTTTTTGCTAGCGTGGTGGAGGTGGAAGAAGAGGAGAAGGAATAGAGGGAAGAGGAGGAGGGGAGGAAGGAAAGGAGGAGGGGAGGAGGGTGAGGAGGAGGGGAGGAGGGAGAGGAGGAGGAGGAGCAGGCTGACTTCACCGGCATGGGCTGTATCCTGCGCTGAGGGAGGGCTCCGTGTTTTCAGCCTTTCCCAGTCACTTCCACATTAATTAGTAAGGGTATCATTTTATAAATTACAGCTCCGTATCAGAGGAAAGTAGAGTTTATCTTAATTCAGTCAGCTGCGTGAGATGCAGTGCCCTAATTTTAGCCTGGCGCTTCTGGGATCCCCATGGGGTGTGGAATTGACAGGTCTCCGTGGAGGAATCCCCACGGGCCTGGCGAGTCTCCTGTTTGCCTCCAGCAGCCATCCTGGTGGGACGTGGACCTGAGTGGCATCTGGCTTACCATTAGCAATTCAGATTTGGATGCGAATCCTCCAAGCAGCACAGCAAGGCGGCTGTGGTAAGCTTTGGGGCCAGGAGAGGCAGAGCCATGGGGCAGGTTGACAGGAGCAGAGCCTGGACGGCCGGGCTTGCTCAGAGGTGGTAAAGACTGGACAATCTGGGTCCAACAGCAGAAGGCTGACAGGCTCAGAGACAACTGTGTGCAGTAGGCCCTGCGGCAGCGACAGAGACCACCTGCTCCTGCGGGGAGGCCCCGGGAGATGTACCTGCATGGAGACATGCTCTGGGCCCCAGAGTCTTATTGTCACTGTGTGCTTGGACCTCCTTCAAAGGACTCTCCATTACTGACCCGAGTCATTTGCCCAGCGTCTGCTTTCTGTTGGAAATCTAGGAAGCGGTCGCTGGGGAGTACTCAGTACGCAGGAAGCACCCCGGGCCCTCTGACATCCACAGGCAGCTTAATAGTAGATGAGGCCTCTGCCACCTTCTCTTACGTGGGACGGACATGCTCTTACTCCATCTAGGAAGACGAGAGCAGGGCAGGAGAGAAGAGAGAGCCCAGGCCGGGCGCTGGTGGCTCACGCCTGTAATCCTGGCTCCTCAGGAGGCTGAGATCTGAGGATTGCAGTTCAAAGCCAGCCCAAAACCAGCCCAAAGCCATCCAAGGCAGGAAAGCCCATGGACTCTTATCTCCAATCACCACCAGAAAACCGGAAGTGGCGCTGTGGCTCAAGTGGTAGAGCGCTAGCCTTGAGCTGAAGAGCTCAGGGACAGCGCCCAGGCCCAGAGTTCAAGACCCATGACCAACCAAAAAAAAAAAGAAAAAAGAGAACCCAGGTATAGAGGGACATCAACCTCTGCCCGAGGCCCCAGCAATGCCAGGGGACAGGCTCCATGGGGATCAGCATGTGCGGTGGTGACCACGCCACGAACTCCGAACCCTCACAGCCCCCCGGGCTTGTCTCAGCACCCACACTACCAGCTGCTGGCACCCCAGGAGTCCCACTGCAAGGAGCCAGGATGGCTGGGGCCGGAGGCAGGAAGGGCCTACTTGTCAGTTAAACAAAAGAGTAATCGGCAGCCCTGCTCCAGTGTGTACTTTCCCTGTCACCCAACAGCCCATTACCGCGTCACAGCGCCGCGCCCTCACACAGGTCACTCTGTTTAAAATGACACGGTTAACGCACATGTCAGCGGCTGACAGTCCCCGCCGTCCTTCAGAGAGGAAAAGCTGCAGGCGAGGCCCGCTCTTATCTGGGGACGCGCACGGGTCTGTCATCCAAGTCAGGCAGAACATGATTTCTCCCGAGAGCACTTTTTTCATTTCCAGATTTTAAGAAAATCAAATAAGCACCATTTGTCTTCATCTGAATATGCTTGACCTGCTCAAATGACGATGTCTCGCATTTTCTAACGGGCTACATATGCTGAATGCGAATGAGCGGCGGGGCAGAGCGCGCGGCTTCAGATCTCTTTGGGAGCTGGCCGTGGAGGAGGAAGGGCGGTCGGGGCTGGGTGTTCAAACTCACTAAAGGCCAAACCCACACACTGCACCAGGGCCGGGGGTCCAGGCCAGACCCAGAGGTGGGTGAGGGGAGGACCAGCCTGTGAGCCATACCAAGCCATAGTGAAAGCACAACATTGGGTAACTAACTCTTCAAAAGGTAGAAAACATGGACTCCGGTTGGCAGAGAGGATGGCGAGGCAGAAATAGTGGACACAGCCTTTGGCTTCACTTTACCAGGTTTGCACTGATCTCCGGACTGCTCCTTTTGTCCTCGTGGCACGGGGTGCAGAGGTGGGCGCCAGCCTTGAGACTCGGGGTGCACCTGCTGGAAGGATAGCCCCCCATCCCCGACCCACCCCTCCACATCAGACACATCACCCAGTAAGGCCTGTGCAGACAGAACATCGTAGAACAGGTGGGCTGGTAGGTACACCCTAGCGTGTTTCACGTGCCCGTCTTCACAACCTCTTGGGGCGTGGGAGTCACTTTCTACAGAGCAGACCTCATGTGGTGCAGACAGTGCTAAGGGGCTTGTTTGAAAGACTGGATGTCACACTGTAGGAGGCGTCTCTGAGCACAGCGGCCGCCCGCCCTGCACCCCTTAGAGGCTGGCAGGACCACAGTGTGTGGTGTGCTGTGTGGGGTGTGTGGGTGCGCAGTGTGCATATGTCGTGTACAGATGGGCATGTCTTACCTTCTCTTCCTGGTCGCTGTCACTGTCACACTGAAATGAAGATGAGAGACGAGAAGTTAGGCCAGGGCTCATGCTTTGACTTGGAGACCCCGCCTGTCCCCCCAAAAGGCATGACAAAGGAGGGTGGTGCTCCGTGGAGCTGGACAGAATGCGTTCTGTCCTGGGGCTGACAGGCACCATGGAAGGGAAACGCCATCTGGAAGCAGGTGGTGGTCCTGCTGATTCCCCGGCCCTGCGCCCCGTGGCTTCTGCCACCGTGGGGCACAAGGAGCTCTATCACCCCGGGAGCTCCGCCACTGCCTGGCAGTGTGTGCATGCAGGAGCCATCCTTGCCGGGGGGACACGTGGCCATGGGGCCACAGAGAGCCACCCCCACCATGGGGACACGGCCCTTTCATGGGATCCAGAGCAAAGCCCATCCCCCAGGGAGCCACTGGGGCTGTCTCTGGGGACACCACAGCCTCTGGGTGTCACATGCGTCTGTGGGGACCCTGGCAGGCAGGGCCACACCTGTGATGCCTGAGAATGGAGACACTCCCTACAGAAAACATGCCAGGGGTAAAAGGTCGGCTAATCAATGACAGTGTAGCCAGCAGAGTCACACCTTGGCTAACGGATCCCAAAGTCCCTCTGTGGACCTGGGTAGGGGGAGGCACAAAGCCAGCGTGATAATGAACCCAAAGTGCTGGGTTGTCAGCTAGAAACCCAGAGGGAAAGAGCACAGCTTGTTAGAAATCCAGAGTGCTTTGTGGCCGGCTGTGGTGGTGCCCACCTGTAATCACAGCACTCGGGAGGCTGAGGCAGGAGGATTGAGAGTTCAAGGCCAGCCTGGTAGATCTGCCCAACATCTTGTTTCAAATACTAACTAAATAAAGAAATAAAAAAGCGGAGGGCCCTGTTGATCCAGCACTGCTGGCAATCAGAGCGAGGGATGCTTGGATAACCACAGGCCCCTGGAGAAGGCACGGCACCACACAGAGGACTGACAGGCCCAGGGCCCTACACAGCTCAGGCTCCAGCCAGGGAGCACGGGGGACATGCGCAGAGCTGAGCAGTCGGAAGAGGACCCGCGTGGGTGGTGGAGACCACACCACGCAGGGGACGGTGATGGGGAGAACGTGTTGGCAGCCTCAATGCTGTCTGTACCAGGATGGTGCCCGGTGAGGGAGGGAGACAGATGGCGGAGCTGTTCTGACGAGAGAACCAACAGGACTCGCTCACACGGGGCGCGGGAGGGGAGACGGCGCGGAGTCTGCTCCATGCCAAGATTTTAGTGTGGCCACCTGGACTTGCGAGCTGATGCATCTAGGAGCAGAAATGGGGAGTGGATCTTCCTCAGGCTCTCGCTGCTGGATGGAGACCTACAGCCACGAACAACTGCTTTTCCCTCATCTCTACCTTCCAAGAACTGGAGGCTGAAAAAGGTAAATATTCTCTTTCCCGGGTTTCCTTGAAGCTTAGCATGGCCATAAGACCTATTTTTCAGCCACTGAGATTTGAAGTCTGCTGAAAGTTCCAGAATAAATAAAAAAGCTCAAGGAAAGGAGAAAAGGATGGGAAGGGATGAGGATGTGATGTCTGGATCCCCTACAGCTGTGGTGCAAAACGTGGCAAAGCCTAACCACCCATTGGGAGGTGAAACTGGAGGAAGATCAAGCCAGGGAACCATCTAGAACAGCCTGCTTCTGGACCTTTCTGTTCAGAAAACAATACGTCATCAAATGGTTTAAGCTACTGCTGGAGTGCTTTCAATGGAAGGCAACAAAGCACCAGGCAAGTGACTCTGCTAGTGTAAGACCGATCATGGGGCTTGGCCTCTACCCACCCCCACACCGTGCCACGCCACGCCATATTTCTTATCATGTGTCAACAGCACAGTGATGTGTATCAGTCATTATTAGGTACCAGGAAAAAGTAATATGAAATACATCAGAAAGGCAACACACACACACATTACAAGGAATGACAAAGAAAAATACATAGCTTCTTAATCAAAACGAAAAATGAGACGCACAACTCACATTTTTTGAAAAGAGGTAAGAGAACACTCTGTCCACATCCCATTCTTTGACAAGAACATTCTAGAAGGTCCCTTGCGATTGCAAGCGGTGCAAGGAGGCCTGTACCAGTGTGTCTTGGTGCCACAGGGTTGTCAGACATCGAATGGCAGTGATTTGGCCAGGCCGGGATCACCATTTCCCACAGAGCTCAGCTGGTCTCTGTCCTCCCTGCCTGACAAGTGCGTGTCGATGACATCAGTCACGTAGGGTAGAAGTCATGGACGGTGCCTGTCATGTATGGTGTAAATCATTGATGGCGTAAGTCACGGATGGCATCGCATATGGTGTAAAGTCTCGGTGGCGTAAGTCGAGGGAGAGGAGAGAGCAGGCGATGCAGACGCTGAGGGCTTGGAACAACAGAAGGGACTGCGAGTTCTGCTGGCGCCCAGCGCGGCGCAAGCTCGACCCGCTCCTCTCCCCCGCTCGGATCGTCACGGTGACAGCTGAAGGCCCCAGGATGCGGCTGTGTGTGGTGGCGGGCGGGCGGGCGGGTGGGGGGGAAGGACAGACCCCCCACCCCGTCCTCGGAGCATGGAGCTTTCCATCAAAGTGTTAAGCTCCCTGCTTTCCAGCAGTCCAGTTCTAATTTCAAGGTCCACTTAATTCTGCATCAAGTAATTACTGCTATACCCAGAAGCACCTTGTCTCCAGAGCTAAGCATATGGCGCAGGGCTGAGGCCTACTGGTGCCCATTATGGAAGCAGCACGGGTGCCAAGCCCATTACAGCCGCGTGGGCCCACGCCACACGCGGGTGAGTGACGGCTCTGCCCAGGCCGCGCTGGAGCGTGCCAACGCAGCCTGGCTGCCCGGGGCCGCATGGTGCACTCGGCAAACGCTTCCCTGTCTGGTATTAAATTCCCACACTGACCCCAGGACTCCGCCGTGAGCTCTGCAGGAGCGCGCCATCCAATTTACAGCTCTGCTCTCTGGAGCCTGGAGTGCCAGCCCCTGGCAGAGACGGATGGTGGTCAGCCCTTCCAGCTCATAAATTATGCAAAGGCAATAAATGCACTCGGCAAACAGGGCTGCGTTTGCCCAGCCTGGCTCCAAGCACACTGCATAAAAAAAAGAAGTCTGACACAGACAAGGGGTCTATTGCACCATAAAGGGTCTGTTGACAAGCTGACAGAGGCCCCTGGCCCTCAGGGGGTCTCTGCTTGGCTGTGGGGCTTCACCGGCTGCGTTATGATAAGGGAGTCTGTGTTGCGGAGTCGGGTGGGGAGAATTCCTGCCTTTCATATGCTGTGGGGTTGCATGCCACTGCTCTGAGATGTGAGATGTGTGGGGCTTTGCCCAATGATCCTCAGTCACTGACGGTCAAAAAAGATGTGGCTGCCCAGCCCCCACACAGCCACATCACTGTGGAAGCTCACCAGCAGCCACCTCCTGGCTCAGGTGATGTTTTGCAGGAGGCTAGGAAGTAAAATGCCCAACACAGAACTGGGGTTCCCCCTGACCTTGGCTGCTGCCAGCATTCTCACCCAGGGTCCGGATTTGGCTTGTGTGGCACACCAACCCCCAATTAAAGGAGAGAGATGTCCGTGGCACATTTCTGAATTCCCTGAGAGAAGCTGTAGATATTTCCCTCTATTCTACAGAACGAGGAATATAAAAGGACTGTGAATGTGTCCACCCAAGGACCCGTGCCCACTCAAGTCTTCAGGCCACTGAACGCAAAGGGCAGGGCAGAATGCTTGCAATCCGAGCTGCAGCTCTTGCATGCAGAATCTGGAAGGGACGTCCCATAAGAATCTTTCCCAGTCAAGTTCCGCCCCTTCAACTCTTCAAACCAGCAACCAACCTGCACCACAACTCCCCCCTCCTAAACATGCATATTTCTGCTTGTCATCCTAGTTACTCTGGAAGCGGGGATGGGAGATCATGGTTCGAGGCTAGCCCAGGTGGAAGGGTCCATGAGGCCCCTTTGCAACCAATAGCTAGATGCAGGAGCCTGAGTCTGTCACTCTAAGCCTGTGAGAGGCTGGGATTTGGGAGGATCGCAATCCCGTGTTTGGACAGCAACGCTTGCACGCCTCCATGTACATTGAAGAGGCTGAGCGGCATGACTCCAGCTACCACAGGAAGATGGAAATAAACGGATCAAAGTCCAGTAGGACTCCTAGGTGGGAAGCAAGACCCCAGCTCAAAAGGAATGTAGCTTAGTGTAGATTACAGGCCCTGAGTGCAAACTGCAGTTCTACTGAAAGAAACCAATGAAGTACTTATTTGATACATTAAAAAAAAAAATCTTGGGTATACACTGCTAAGATATTTCTATGACTTTTCTAGTCTTTTCTGTTGAGCCACATACAACTCTCCTCATCCTTCATACAAGCATTGTAAGAGGAAAAAAAAAACCTAATTCCTAATAATTAGTTAGCCAGCTCTCATATTCATATGACGTGCTGAGGCTACTTGGCCTGGAGCATGGCTTTACAAGATGGCCGCCTTGTCTTACCAACCCCCCCACCCCGCCCCGCGGCCCTGCCCTGTGTTCCCACAACTCTCCATAGATGTCCTGAGGGATTTCCTACACGCACACCATGGGCTTGTACTTCCCTGGATTCCTGGTGGCCTTCCTTCCTTCCTCCTCTCCCCCCCGTCCTCTGCTCAGTCTCTGATGCCTCTGCCCCCCGTTGTAATGTCTCTATATGCTGAGGTCCAGGGGAACTCTTACCACCCGTGGTTCTGCCCATGTTTACATGCTGAGACTATACCCTCTCTATGCGGTGACAGCAGGAAAGTCCCTTAAACTCTTGGATCCACAGTCTAGCTGGAATAGTAGCAGTTGCAAATACTAAGGTAGGAGTCAAATGAGTTACACATAGGAACAACCTGGAGGGTCACAGAGCAGCTTGTGCGCGGATGGTGAGTTCTCCCGCCAGTGTCTCCTTGCCCTCCTCAATCAAGCCAGCCACACCGGACGCCACCTATGCTCAGACCAGGCCTGTGCCTCCCACAGCCTCCTG